TTTTAAAATGACAAATGTCATCCAAGATATGCAGGTGGAGGAACGGGGACACAGCGGTAGATTTCTTACCTCGGAGGCCACCCGTCAGAACTGAGGCCAGCGCTGAGCCAGTCTGAGGCCAGCAGCTGTGCCTTCCTGGCCGTGCAGCAGACAAAATGCCAAGCTCGGGTTTGGAGGGTGGTGGGGTGGAGAAAGGATTGGAACAGGCATTCGGAGCCCTCATCAAGAGCCCAGGAGACCCTGTGCCTGTCTCAAGGAACATCACTCAGTCATTCACTCATTCGGCCCTGGAGTACCAGTGAGTGCCAGGCCCTGTTCTGCAGTGGTGACAGGGCAGTGCCAGGAAAGACAGTGCCTGCTCTAAGGCAGCTTACCCTAGACAGAGGCAATAAAAAGCAAACAAGCCAGTGGGATTTGCTCAGAAGGGCAAAGTGCCAAGAGCGAGCAGCCACCTGCCCAGGGCCCTCAGGTGCCTCCCCAGGCTGACCCAGGCTGACGCAGCACGGGCGAGAAGCAGCTCCAGCCCCTGTGGATGCAAAGGCCTGGGGAGGCGTCTGTGAGTGCTCTAACCACTACTGGCCTGTGTGGCTCAGCAAAAGGGGCAGGGGCAGGGGGCCTGGAAGGAGCCTGTGGAAGTCAGTGCTGCCCGTGGCGCTCATTCTCCCCACAAAGCCAGCGGTTCTCAAACTCCAGCGTGCATCAGGATCACCTGGAAGCACCGCCATGTCATACTGCTGACCCCCACCCCCGCCCCCACTTGCTCCTCAGGTGCAGGTAGGACCCCAGCTTTGCTTTTCCGACAAGATCCACGGGGCTGCCGGGCTGCAGGTCCCACCTGGAGAGCCACTGCTCCCGCCTAGTCTGTTCTTGGACACGGCACCTGCTGGATCCCGGGTGGGCTGGCTGGCAATCGGTGCACCCTGGGAGTGTGCTGATCCCCAGTGCCCGGCTGGCAGGCTGGCAGACAGCGGTTCCGTTGGCTTCCCCTGGAGCAGCACCTCTACCTTATCTGATTTCCAGGAGCCGGGAGGTAGCCCTGGGTCAGTCCCTCCGTGGCTGGCACACCCCAGCTTCCCCAGTAGGCTTCCCTCTGGGCCGGGCTCCTGGCATGGGCAGCCAGGACTAGAACTGGCATGCATACGAGACACCAGTGCCACAGGTGGGGGCTTAGTCCACAATGCCATGGTGCCAGCCCCACTATTTATTCTGAAAGCAACTTTTCTGTAGCATAAATGACTTACAAATCAAGATTCCCTAAAAATCCCAGCACACAGAGTAACAGTCTTCACATCACAAAATGTGACATTTTCCTGAACCAGAGAATCCACATGGGCCTGAAGCCCTACCACTGCAGTGAGTGTGGCAGGGCCTTCTGCTGCAGCTCGGTGTCTGTCCGACACCAGAGACTCCACACCAGACAGTAACTGCACAGCGCCCCACCTGCTGCCTCACCTCCCAGCTGGGGTGCCCACAAGCCTGAGCCCTGCAAGCACTTCTAATAAAGCCAGTTTGTCTTTTTTAAAAGATAATTTACTTCCTTATTTTTAAAGGCAGAGGTGGAGAAAGGTCTTCCATGCACTGGTCACTCCACTTCTTCCAGGTCTCCCATGTGAGTAGCAGGGGCCAGGGCTTGTTCCATCTTGCACTGCTTTCCCAGGTGCATTAGCAGGGAGCTGGATTGGAACTGGAGCAGCCGGGACACGGCCAGTGCCCGTGTGATGCTGGTGGCAGCTTTACCTGCTGTGCCACACCCCTCAGTAAGGGCCAGAGAGCAGGGGTCTCAGCAGCGTCCAAGTCAGTCCTCTGGATTCTGATTTACACAGACCTCTGTGGCAGTGACCTAACCAATGTGAAGGCCTAGGCCAGGCATTGTGTGTGCTTCAACCGCACCAGTCTCCAACCTGTTTCTCCCTCTTCTAACACAAGCCTTCATCCCCTTTCAGGTTCCATGCCCCCCTCCCCCACCGTGCCACCCATCCTGGCACCCAACTGCACAGCCTCAGCCTGCCTGAGCCCCTACAGATGTGTGTTCTCCTTCCTGGCTCCTGGGCAGCCAGGCCTGGACCACAGCCCCCATCGCTGGCCTACTCTAAGCCAGCTGGGCCCTCAACCATGTGCCTTCCACACTGCCACACCTCCACCTGCTGTTGGAGCTCAGTACCTCCATCCAGGGGTAACTTCAGACCGACAGGAGCAGATTAGGGGTCAGTGTGGGGAACAAATTCTTAGGGGAAATCGTCTCCAATCCCACTTAGGACCAGGAGCCCCTTTCACACAGTGCGGGAAAAGCAGAGCTGGGGCAGGCAGCAGAGGTCGGCTAGGCACGGCTCTGAAGCTTGGCTGCACAGCAGTGGTGGGTCCTGGGCCCCAGCACCCATCAATCGGAGGTGGGTGGAGACATCCAGAGTCAAGGCTTTCTTTGAGGGCATGAGCTGTCCTGCTACCCACAGGAGTTGCTAATTAGGTTCTGCACTTGGCCCGCTCCCGCCCAGTAAGGGAGCCACTTCCCCCAAGAAGACGCCACAGCAGAAAGCCACTTGTCAGATGATCCTTTATTCCCAGATTGCTCTCTGCTTCTTAGCTCTGTGAGGAAGAAAGCGGGTCTCAGTGACCACCGGCCACTCCAGCCTGGCAATACATCAGCTGTACCCCACCCCACTTTCACACGCAGCAGGAGTGACCACTGGCCATCCCCCCGTGTCACCCGCAGGCACTTACAGCCGGGCACTCCACGGCACCACTGTTGATGTCGTCGATGATGTCGTGAGGGTGGCGGCCGTCCACGTTGCAGCCCACAGACTGGGCGGTCCCCAGGATCTCCTTAATGGTCCCTGAGAGAGCAGTGGCTTCAGGGAAGGCTTGGTCCTCTCTCGGGACTCCCCACTCCCCTTGGAGTCTGGAATCCCACCTGGTTACAAAGCCCTTACACAAGGTCTCCACACTCCCCCTGCGCCCAGGTTAAATACCCCACTCAGCACCACGCGTTTCTGCAGAACACGGCCCAAGTCCTGGATCACCCCGGGGCGGACCCGGGAGCCCGCTCCACGCCCTGCGCTTACCGGAGAGTTCTCTGGCTAGGGACCGGTGGCGCATCTGCCGGGCAATGTTGACAATCTCGTCGAAGGTGATGTTGCCACTGTGTTTGACTGCAGGAAGGACCAGGGGAAGCTCGGTCAGAGGCGGCCGCCTGTGAAGCCTCACGAGGCCCCGCCAGCCGTCGCAGGCTGTTCCCGTGCTTTCGGCACAGAGTCATCCACGTGGAGGACAACCCTGTTTCCTAAGCCGGGGCTTCCTCTCAGCTCACCACTGGATTGCGCCAGCCAGCAGCATGGGCAGGCGCAGTGGCGGGTGGCTGGGACACAACCGAGCCTCCGCCGGAAGCCGGGCTGGGGCCAGTTAGGCGTCCAGGACTCACCCTCCACCCCCCGCACGCACGGGAAGCAGGACCTGCCCCACACTAGCTAACCCGTCACCTCCCACACTGTCACACAGGGGACACCCAGAGCTGGTCAGACCCCTACACAAGGCACTCACTGTTCTTCTGCTTCTTCCGGTCCCGGGGGGGTTCCTTGAGGGCTTTGATGATGAGGGCCGAGGCCGAAGGCACCACCTCGATCTGCAGGACAGAGTCTTGTGTGAAAGAGCCCGACCCCACTGGACCCCACGCCGGTGAGCGTGGCTACGCGGCCACCCACGTGGGCTCCCAGAGCATGCCCAGCCCAGCCTGGGGGCCGGCTACACAGGCGGAAATACCTGGGCCTGCCGGTTCTGGATGGTCAGTTTCACTGTGATCCGCAGCCCCTTCCAGTCGCCGGTGGCCTTGGCAATGTCATCGCCAACCTTTTTGGGAGACTGTAGGGATACGGGCGGGTTATCAGCCTGTGCCCGAGCTGGGCGCAGCCCCCAAACCCGTGCAGTACCGCCACCTCCCTCCGCCAGCGCCAGGGCAGCTGCACCTGCGCCCCATACCCCAGGTAGCACCAGGCTCCGGTGCGGCCACGCCTCGAAGGGCCCCTGCACCGAGGCGGCACGCGCGCAGCCCGAACCCGTTTGCGGAGGCTGGGCCCCAGCTGGCCACGGCAAGATGGCCCTTAGTGGCAGGAGCGACGCTCGGGTGCCCCACGGCATGAACGCGGTACAGAGTGGAGCCGGCCACGGCCCCCGCGAGCCCGCCACGCGCTGCCCACTGCGGGTCCGCCGCTCGGCTCCGGCCGCGCACCAAGTACTCACCAGGCCCAGGGGGCCGATCTTGGGGGCCAGGGCAGACGTGGCGCCGACCTCGCCGCCGGTGCACCGCAGGTATACTGGGGGGAGGGGGAGGAAAGCCGGGGCCTCAGCGGAGGGGCCGCGCCTCTCCGGGCTGCCCACCCGGCCGTCGCCTCTCCCCGACACAGCACCAGGAGCTCCCGGGGATCAAGGCCGGACACACGCTCCTCGCTCGGGCGCCGCAGCGGAGGCCGCCCGGAACCCACACGAGGGGCGCAGAGACCCCCGAAGACAAGCCTTACCCTAAGGCGTGCGGGCTGCAAAGCCGCCAGGGTCGTCCGCTCCTCCCTCCCCATCTACACGTGGGAAAGCCGAGGCCCGGGACGCGCAGCTTCCCGCACGGGAAAGGAGCGCGGCGGGGCGCGGGCAGCCTCCACCCCGCAGCCCCGCTCGCAGCGAGAGCACGCACCGACTTTGATCTCGTTGGGATCGAACTTGGGTGGCATGGTGGAGGCGCCTGGTGTCGGATGAACCCGGATTCGGGACGACCGAAGAGAGTTGCACCTTGGCCTCCTCCGAGCCGAATACCGAAAGGCCGGAAGTCCCGCCGACCGCACCGGATATAAGCAGGAAAATGCGGCTCTCGCGAGAGCTCCTGGCTCCACCTACGAAATCCTGGCTCCGCCTGGCGACGCCCTTGCCGCCATGTTTCTTATGGGCAGGCTCCTGCGGCTGACTGCTGGAGAGCCGGGGGCATCGCGGTGAGCCGGGGTAAAGGATTCGGAAGCGGGGTTCGGGGCAGTTCGCCAGAGGGGAGTCAGAGACGACAGGCTGCTCCCGAGATCCCGGGCCTCGCTGTTTGCTGTGCTCTCGTATCGTGAGGGTCACCCCGGGGTCCCTGTCACCGAAATCCAGAGACCTGCCCCTCCCCTGGGCGGTCCGCACCCCCGTCCCGGGACCCGGGACTCCTCCTAACCCCTTCGTGGTGTGTGGGTCCGCTCAGCAGACCTAAGCCAGGTGCAACTCTTGCTCGTGCGAGCCCGGCGTCCCGGACCTGTCACTCCTGCTCTGCAGGACTTTTGGAGCTTCTGGGTTTCGGTCCCAGCTCCTGCCCCGGAGGAGCCGCAGCCACTGCTAAGCCCGGGGGTGACCCGCCTGTCCACCCACCCGGCCCGGTGACCGCAGCCGAGGGGAGGATGGGTGTGGCCCTCGCCCCCGGGCTGGACGCCAGCAGATGAGGGAGCGGCGTCGGGGCTGAGCTGGGAGGAGATGGGGAGCGGGGCGGGCAGGCTGCGGCAGACCCTGCCCGGTGCCGGCAGACTGGTGGGTTTGACCGGAGGGCCTGGGCGGGCCACCCCTGCGGCTGGCAGCCCGCACCCCTGTGGGCGGAGACCTCTGGCCTCCGCCGCTTCCCCAGCCGCGTCTGCTCCCCTAGCCCTCGGCCCTGGCTCCGTGTGTGCGGGACGGGCGGCGCTTTGTGGCCGTGGAGCTTTCGCTGTGTGCAGGTAGCGGCCGTGTGGGGGCCTCAGGTGTGTGAACTCACTGGGAAGCCGGTGTCGGTGACATTATCGCTCACGCTCCGCAGATGAGGAAGCCGTGAGCCACGGTGACACAGCAGGTGGCTGGCCGAGCCTGGATCCCTACCAGCCTGGTGCTTGCTTCCTGGCTGTGGGCACGGATATTTGCAGGTACTGGGCAGGGCCCCTGCGGGCAGTGGGCACCAACTCCTGGTCCAGGACCCCAGCGCCAAGCAGGTGGCAAACCCCTGAGCATCAGGTCGTGGAAGCCCAGGGTTCCAGGCTGCAGACCCACATCCCAGAACCTGCTGAGCGTGTTTCTCCACCATCAGCAGGGCCCTGGTGAGGGTCCCGTGGAGTGATGACTGTGAGGGCGGCCAGGCGCCTAAGGGTCGCCCCTGAATGTTGATTCAACTCCGAGATCCCTCTGGCTGTGACGTAGTTGAGCCCCCCAGAGTCATGGCTGGCTCCAGTCTGGTTCTGCCGTTCTAGCTTGGAGGAGCCGGAAGTGACCCCAGTCTGTTAGGGTCCTCCGGGAGAATCCTGAGGAAGTGTGGAGGCCCGGCCGGGGTCCCGCAGAGGGTCCCACACCCGGATCACATGGCTTGCCGCGTGCCCCTTCCGCCCCAGCCGGCCACTGTCTGAGTCCTGGGCACCTGCAGCGTGGGCTCGGGGAACTGGTGGATGAGACAGGCGGTACCGTAGGCTGGGGCCACCTGTCCACCTGTCCTAGACGCTGGGGACAAACTCCGCAGGCCCCAGCTTCTCTCCTGTGCCCCAGCGCCCTGAAGATCCGCTCCGGGGAAAGGGGACGATGCCGCTCTTCTTCCGGAAGCGGAAACCCAGCGAGGAGGCTCGCAAGCGCCTGGAGTACCAGATGTGCCTGGTGAGGGACCCGGGTGCCCCGGCCCCAGCCCGGCTCAGCTGCGCGCTCCCTCCCCTCTGCCTCCCCAGCCCAGCCCTGGCCGGCCGGATCCCGGTGGGATCGCCGGACTTCCTGGAGAACACGCGAGAATCCGCTCACGGCGCCCCTTGCCGCTCCTTGCTTTTGGGCGGCCTGTTCACTCCGCAAGGATTTTTTCATCTCGGTACCCTTAGGCGAAGGAAGCTGGGGCGGATGACATCCTGGACATCTCGAAATGCGAGCTCTCGGAGGTAAAGTGAGGGCGCGGCTGGGCCGTGCCTGGGAACGGCCCTGCTCTCTTGGACCCCGGTCCCCGGCGAGGGTCTCAGGGGAGGGAGGAGCTCCCGGAAGGAGACGCAGCCTTAGACCTCCGGGTCTGAAAGAGCTCACGCCATCTTTTGTTTTCAACTGGGTCTCCAAGGCCCCGCCGTTTCCCTCGGGGCTGGCAGAGCAGGGATGCACAGCTGCCCCTGGGGCCTGAGGAGGCGGGGGCGGGGACGGGGTCCCTCCGCCAGCTGAGTGCAGCAGGCCTGGCCACACCCCCGCCAGCCCGGCCAGGCACGCCCCACCCGGGAAGCCCACCGCGGGAGGGAGGCCACCGCGGAGGGAGGCGCTTACCCTTCCTTATCTCACTTAGATTCCGTTCGGGGCCTTTGCAACCTGCAAAGTTCTCCAGAAGAAGGTGAGCAGGGATTCCTTCTTTTAAAGATTTATTTACGTATTTGAAAGGCGGAGTTACAGAGAGGCAGAGAGAGAGAGAGAGAGAGAGAGAGAGAGAGTCTTCCATCCACTGGTTCACTCCCCAATTGGCCGCAATGGCGGGAGCTGGGCTGATCTGAAGCCAGGAGCCAGGAGCTTCTTCCGGGTCTCCCACGTGGGTGCAGGGTCCCAAGGACTTGGGCCATCTTCTATTGCTTTCCCAGGCCACAACAGAGAGCTGGATCGGAAGTGGAGCAGCCGGGACTAGAACCGGCGCCCATGCATAAGGGATGCAGACACCACAGGCGGGGCGGGGCGGCGGGTGGGGGGGGGTGCTTAGCCCGCGGGCCACAGCGCAGGAGCAGGGACTTCTTTCCAGAGAGTGGTGTACTGCTCCTCCGCTCCTTGGAAACCACGTGGGGCTTATGGGAGCTGCCCTGCCGCACAGACACCTCCCTTCCCCCCAGGTTTGGGAGGTCACGGGAGAGCCGGCCCTGGGTCACATCCTGGCTCCGCCCCTCCCTGGCTTCAGGACCTTGAAGCCTCCTAGCCCAGCTGCTGCTTCTGTGGCCTGAGTGCCCAGCGTGCTCTGTCCCAGGTGCTGGGAGGATTAAGTGAGCAGCAGGGAGGCGGGACGGGTGGAGTGGGACGCCTGCCGGTCAGCCCGGGCTGCCGGCGTGAGCACACGCTGGGTCTGGGGGGCCAAGGCGGGGGCTGAGTGGTTCTTCCAGCTGGGGATGCCATGGGCAAGAGTGCCCTAGTGAGACGTCTGGGTGCAGACAGGTGGGAAGGCCCCACGCCCCCAGAACCACAAGCGCCCTCTCCGTGGCAGCACCACCGCACTGGAGGCCTCCCAGGGGCCGGGCACCAGGCCCCGGCCAGCCCAGCACTCCGCCGCCCTTGGCTTGTTGAACCATCATGGCAGCTGCTTCCTTATTCGCAGGGGAAGGTTGAGACCAGGGCAGCTACTGGGGGCCCCTCCCTCCCCTCGCGCCCCTGAAATTCCAGGACTGGTTCTGGGTGGCGTCCCCTCGGGAGTGCCTGGGCAGGCAGGGACGTCCCAGGCCTGCGTGGAGCTGCCTCGCGCCCTGCCCGCCCTCCCCGCGCCTGCAGCCTAAGGGCCACGCCTCCGCCACCAGGTGCTGATCGTCCACACCAACCACCTCACCTCTCTGCTTCCCAAGTCCTGCAGCCTCCTGAGCCTCGCCACCATCAAGGTACCAGGGTCGGGGCGGCCGGGCTCCCCTGCTCCCTGGCGCCAGCCTGGGGCTGCATCGGCACGGTGTGGGATGGCGAGGACAACTGGCCACGGCCCTGCCCGCCGGGAGCTCGCACGCCCCCCCCCCCAAGCTCCGGGCACGTGGTTCCCAAAGGAGGGAGGCAGGGGCGTCCGGCGTCTTGTGGCCAATGTGAAACTGGTGCCCTGGGACGGCCCCTCCCCCCGACGGCAGGGTCCTCCAGGCGGGGGCTGGGACAGAGTCACGGGTGCAGGATCGCTCTGCGTGGACAGGAGCCTGGGAGAAGCCTGGGCGCTTAGGCATCCGCCGCTCTTCCTGGCCGCCTCGCGGTGGGGGTGGGGGTGGGGGTGGGGCCGTGGCCGTTAGGGCTCATCTCTGCTCCCACGTGTGCTGTGTTTGTGGTTGGGAAGAAGAACGTTGAAAAATATGTTTACACTTACGTGTACCCATGTTTCTTTTTTTAAAAGATTTATTTATTTATTTGGAAGTTAGAGTTACAAAGAGAGAGGAGAGAGAGAGAGAGATGGAGAAGTCTTCCATCTGACGGTTCACTCCCCAGTTGGCCACAATGGCCGGGGCTGAGCTGATCCGAAGCCAGGAGCCAGGAGCCTCCTCCGGGCCTCCCACATGGGTGCAGGGGCCCAAGTCCATCCTCCACTGCTTTCCCAGGCCACAGCAGAGAGCTGGATCGCATGTACCCATGTTACATGTATGTTTCATATATGTGTGCATCACGCATTTGTGAGCACATGGTTCTACCTGTGTCTCCTGTGCCTTTTGTGTTCATTTTTGTTGTTAGGAAAAAATAGCAGGGGATGGGCACTGTGGCGCAGTGGGCTAAACCTCTGCCTGCAGGGCTGGCATCCCATACGGGCGCCGGTTCGAGTCCCGGCTTCTCCACTTCCAATCCGGCTCTCTGCTGTGGCCTGGGAAAGCAGAGGAAGATGGCCCAAGTGCACCCACGTGAGAGACCTGGAAGAAGCTCCTGGCTTCGGATCAGCTCAGCTCCAGTCATTGCAGCCGTTTGGGGAGTGAACCAGCGGATGGAAGACCTCTCTCTCTGCCTCTCTCTGCCTCTGCCTCTGCCTCTGCCTCTCTGTAGCTCTGCCTTTCAAATAAATAAATAAAGATTAAAAAAAAAGAAAAAGAAAAAATAGCAAATACAGGTAAGCCAAGGAAAAGGAAGAAGATGCTGTCCTTTTTTTATTTTTTTTAATTTATTTTTATTTATTTATTTTTTGACAGGCAGAGTGGACAGTGAGAGAGAGAGACAGAGAGAAAGGTCTTCCTTTTGTCGTTGGTTCACCCCGCAATGGCCGCTGTGGCCGGCACGCTGCGGCTGGCGCATCGCACTGATCCGAAGCCAGGAGCCAGGTGCTTCTCCTGGTCTCCCATGGGGTGCAGGGCCCAAGCACCTGGGCCATCCTCCACTGCACTCCCTGGCCACAGCAGAGAGCTGGCCTGGAAGAGGGGCAACCGGGACAGAATCCGGCACCCCGACTGGGACTAGAACCCAGTGTGCCGGCACCGCAAGGCGGAGGATTAGCCTAGTGAGCCGCGGCGCCGGCCACTTTCCTTTTTTTTAAGATTTTATTTTTCATTTATTTGAAAGGCAGAGCTACAGAGAGAGGAGGAGACAGAGACAGAGAGAGAGGGAGAGACAGAGAGAGAGAGAGAGGGAGAGAGGTCTCCCATCCACTGGTTCGCTTCCCAAAGGCCGCAACAGCTGGGGTGGGCCAGGCTGAAGCCAGGAGCTCCCTCCAGGTCTCCAGTGTGGGGGCAGGGCCCAAGCACATGAGCTGTCCTCCGCTGCCTTAGCAGGGAGCTGGATCGGAAGTGATTTTTTATTTTTGAAAGATTTATGTATTTAATTGAAAGAGTTACACAGAGAGAGAAGGAAAGGCGGAGAGAGAGAGAGAGAGAGAGAGAGAGAGGTCTTCCACCCGCTGGTTCACTCCCCAGATGGGCGCAAACAGCCAGAACTGTGCCACTGCCTCCCCAGGCCATAGCAGAGGGTTGGATAGGAAGTGGAGCAGCCAGGACTCGAACCGGCGCCAGTATGGGATGCTGGCCCTGCAGGCGGCAGCTTCACCCGCTGCACCACAGCGCCAGCCCGAGGGACAAGGACAGGCGCTGTTTCCCTGGAGCGTCGGTGGACTTCCCTCTGCAAGCCTGCGCGGACGCCGCGCCGCGTTGTTCTCTGCGCATGCTATTTTATGGCGCACTTTTCACGTTCCAACAAGAGGAACTATTCGATAATAAAATGAAGGAATCACATAATAGATTGAAAAAAAGAGAGCGAGGTGGGAAGGAGCCCGCCGAGTGGGAGGGGAGAGCCGGGTGCCCTGGGCCCCCGCAGCAGGGGCGCGGGCCGCCCACTGAGGCGGTGCCTTCCTCCGCAGGTGCTGGATCTGCACGCAAATCAGCTGGCCGGCCTTCCTGAGGACGTGGGGCAGCTCACCGCCCTCCAGGTGAGGCCCAGGGCACAGGGCGACCTCTGCTGTGCTCTGGCCCGCGAAGGCGTCCTCCTTCGGCAGCTCCACCCCACCCCCACCTCGTCTGTCTGGTTTCTTTAAGACTTGTTTATTTATGTATCTTGAAGGCAGAGTGACAGAGGGAGAGACACAGAGAGAGATCTGCCGTCCCGCCGGCAACAGCTGCGGCTGGGCCAGGCTGAGCCGGGAGCCTGGAACTTGGCGGGGTCTCTGCTCTCGGGTCATCTGCTCTGCTTTCCCAGGTGCCTTAGCGGGGAGCTGGATGGGAAGCAGAGTAGATGGGACGTGCACCAGGCACGCGGAGTGGCCGAACCTGCAGCACCCAGCACCCCCTGCCCTGCCCTGGCCGTCGCAGTGTGGGCCCAGGGCATCTGTCCATCGTATCTTTGTCATGTGATTTTTGAGCTGAAAGCAAGCACCCAGCGACCCTGCCTTTGGAAGATGGTGACAGCCACACTCCAGGCCGAATCGGCCCGTACACCCGTGCGTGCCGGCTCTGTGCCAGCCCCGTGCTGGGCCCGTCCCTTGCGTTTTCTGTCCTGTGCAGCAGGTGCTGGTCGCCCCATTCTTGGGAGGACAGGGTGGCTTCACGGGACACCATTCTCTTCCTGGGCCCAGGAGCCCACGGAGGGGCCGCCTGTCGTTGCAGCCTTCTGTGCGGCTCTGCCCGCTGCACCGGCTGCAGGCGGCCCCTACAGCCCGCTGCCCTCTGCGTCCTCCCCCCCAGGGCGCCCCTGCATTGTCAGGGGCTCTCCCCGGCTGGCCACAGGGCTCCCCCACATCTAGCCCAGATGGCCCCAGGAATCCTCCCCAGCCCTCCCTGTCTCTGGGTTCCAGCTCAGTGACTGTCGCCTGCGATGTGTGGTCTCTGAGGGCAGCACCATCATCTCACACCCTGCGTGGCATGTGGAGAAGGCCAAGGAGCGATCTGGTGACCCTCCCGTGCCCATTTTACAGAAGAGAAAGTGGAGGGCAGAGAGAGGACTGCAGTGGGCCGAGGTCACACATGGTGGGACCATGTCATGGCCCCCACGCCAAGCTCCAGGGGATATCCCACCGCGGAATCTTTGGAAATATGTCTATTTGGGCATTTTATTTTTTTTTTTTTTTTTTTTGACAGGCAGAGTTAGACACAGAGAGAGAGACAGAGAGAAAGGTCTTCCTTCCATTGGTTCACTCCCCAAATGGCCGCTACGGCCTGTGCATTGCGCTGATCCGAAGCCAGGAGCCAGGTGCCCCCTCCTGGTCTCCCATGGGGTGCAGGGCCCAAGCACTTGGGCCATCCTCCACTGCACTCCCTGGCCACAGCAGAGAGCTGGCCTGGAAGAGGGGCAACCGGGACAGAATCCGGCGCCCCGACCGGGACTAGAACCCGGTGTGCCGGCGCCGCAAGGCGGAGGATTAGCCTAATGAGCCTCAGTGCCGGCCGGGTTTTGGGTTTTTTTGTTTTTTTTTTGTTGTTTTTTTTTTTTTTTTTTAAGATTTATTTATTTATTTGAAAGGCAGAGTTACAGAGAGGCAGAGAGAGAGAGAGAGAGAGAGAGAAAGGTCTTCCTTCCATTGGTTCACTCCCCAAATGGCCGCAATGGCTGGAGCTGCACCGATGCAAAGCCAGGAGCCAGGAGCGTCTTCCAGGTCTCCCACGCGGGTGCAGGGGCCCAAGCACTTGGGCCATCTTCTACTGCTTTCCCAGGCCACAGCAGAGAGCTGGATTGGAAGTAGAGCAGCCAGGACTCAAACCAGCGTCCATATGGGATGCCGGCACTGCAGGCGGCAGCTTTACCCACCACACCACAGCGCCAGCCCCAGGAAAGCTGTCTGTCTGTACGGAATGGCTGCATTCACCATTCTGAACTTCCGCACGCCTGACAGTAACTCGTCAGCGTCCCTGGCTCATCAGACGTTCATCTGCCACTCCCCTCTCACGGCCTCTTGGCTTTTCCATCACATCCGTGTTTAATGGCTGCTGAGTGTTTGTGCTGTTGGCCTCACTCACGGCACGATGCCGCATCCCGGGGGAGCACAGCCTTCGGAACCCAGGGAGCCTGCGTTCCGTCCCAGTGCCACACACTGGGCAGAGCACACACCAGGCTGCCCAGGCTCCTCGCCCCGACACGGGACCGCGCCCGGCTGCGCACTGCATCACGCCGGCCGCTGGGTGTGCTGGGCCCTCTGCTGCTCCTTCCCTGACTGTAGGGCCGTGAGTGGGCTTTCTTCTCTCTTCTCTTCTCTTCTCTTCTCTTCTCTTCTCTTCTCTTCTCTTCTCTTCTCTTCTCTTCTCTTCTCTTCTCTTCTCTTCTCTTCTTTCTCTCTCTCTCTCTCTCTCTCTCTCTCTTTCTCTCTCTCTCTTTTTGGAAAGAGTCTGGGAGAAAATGTACATCTTTTTAAAAATTATTTATTTGGGGGCTGTCACTGTGGGGCAGTAGGTAAAGCTACCACCTGCAGTGCCAGCATCCCATTGGGCGCCAGTTCGAGTTCCAGCTGCTCCACTTCTTTTTTTTTTTTTTTTTTAAGATTAATTTTTTTACCCTTTTTAAATTTTTTTTTATTTTTATTTTTTGACAGGCAGAGTAGACAGTGAGAGAGAGAGAGAGACAGAGAGAAAGGTCTTCCTTTTTCCGTTGGTTCACCCTCCAATGGCCACTGGGGCCAGCGCACTGCGGCTGGCGCACCACGCTGATCCGAAGCCTGGAGCCAGGTGCTTCTCCTGGTCTCCCATGGGGTGCAGGGCCCAAGGACCTGGGCCATCCTCCACTGCACTCCCGGGCCACAGCAGAGAGCTGGCCTGGAAGAGGAGCAACTGGGACAGAGTCCGGCGCCCCGACCGGGACTAGAACCCGGTGTGCTGGCGCTGCAGGCAGAGTATTAGCCTAGTGAGCCGCGGCGCTGGCCCAAGATTAATTTTATTTATTTGAAAGAGTTACAGAGAGAGGTAGAGACAGAGAGATCTTCTATCCGCTGGTTCACTCCCCAAATGGCCACAACGGCTGTAGATGCACTGACCCAAAGCCAGGAGCTTCTTCTAGGTCTCCCGCATGTGTGCAGGGGCCCAAGGACTTGGACCATCTTGTTGGATCGGAAGACGAGCAGCCAGGACTAGAACCGGCGCCCATACGGGATGCTGGCTCTTCAGGTCAGGGACATTAACCCACTGCACCACAGCGCTGGCCCCAGCTGCTCCACTTCTGACCCAGCTCTCTGCTGTGGCCTGGGAAAGCAGTTGAAGATGGCCCAAGTCCTAATAAATCTTTTAAAAAATCATGGATTTGAGAGACAGAGCTCCCGTCCACTGGTTCACTCCCTAAATGCCCGCAGTGTCGGGATCCAGGACCTGATTTCACATCCCCATGTTTGAGGCAGAGACCCCAGCACGTGAGCTGATTAGCAAGGTGCACATAGCAGGAAGCTGGAGTGGGGGCGGAGCCGCCACCTGAGCCCAGGAGCTCCCTGTAGGCCACAGGTGTCTCAGCCAGGCCAAGTGCCCGCCCCGGTAACTGGGCGTTGTGTGGCCAGCAGCCACGGTGGAACCTCAGTGGGAACCGCGTTCAAGGTCTCGGCCTTGGTCTCCTGGGCACAGGACGTCACCGCGCTGAGCCCAGCCTCGGTTTTCTCATCTCTCACGTGGGATTGTAACAACCTGTGCCTTCCTCGCAGAGCTGGCAGCAGGCGGTAAAGGCTCGGGCGCGAAGCACCCGGGTGATACTGGGCCGAGGGCTGGCGTGCGGGGCCGGCGTGGGCGCTGTTGCTCGTCATTTGCGCCTCCTTCTTAGGTATTGAACGTGGAAAAGAACCAGTTGACACACCTCCCGCGTTCCATTGGGAACCTGGTCCAGCTCCAGACCCTCAACGTGAAAGGTGAGGGAACGGGAAGCCTTGGTGGGCTCGGGCTGTCGCAGGCAGGATGCAGAGGGTGTTCCCCCGGGAGCCGCGGAGCACAGGGGGTTGCTGTAGAGGGCTGTCCCCCCCAACCCCGGGAGCCGCAGAGCACAGGGGGTTGCTGTAGAGGGGCTGCCCCCCCCAGCCATCCACCTCCATGGTGACTCCTGGGGGTGGGGGAGGGCAGGCGGCCTTGACAGCAGGGTTCACTCGGCTTTCATAGTGAGCGGCGGGGAGAGTGGGCAGAGCTGGAGGAGCCACCTTGGGCACCTGTGAGGGCAGAGGAGGACGTGAGTCTCGGGGCCATGACTTGCCCGAGACCCCGAGACCACGCGGCGAGCGAGTGAGCGGGGCCAGGATCCTGCCGTGGTCTCCGTGCCTCTCCCCGCCGCCCCAGCGCTCACCTCTTGTCACTGCCCTGAGCGCTCACCGCACGGAAGGCCTCCGTCTACCCAACTAGCGGAGGAGGAGCGATGGAGCCAGTGGTGCCACGGAGCAATCCGCTTCCATCAGCCCTGGCTGCACTCAGCGTCTCGGGGAACCCCCTGGGTTCCGCCAGGCCGGACAGGGCTGTTCTGGTGCTGCTGCCCAGAGGGAAAGCCGCTCTGCTTGGAGGCTGGAGTGGGGACGTGAGCCAGGGTGTTTGAACCCAAACCCCAGCGTCCTGTTCCAGGGCCTGGTGTGTGCCTCGAGGGCCGGAGACAGGCGTGCATGCACACACAGGCATGCTTACCCATACACACATCCACACGCTACACAGGTGCACACTTCCACACACAGGCACGTGCTCACACATACACACATGCACACTCAGGCACATGCTTGTACCGTACACAGACACACAGGTGCACACTTCCACACACAGGCATGTTCTTACACATGCACACAGGCACACGCTTACACGCACACCTACACACTTCCACACCCTGGCACACACATGCACGTGCTTACACACATATACATGCTTATACACAGGCACACACTTGCACACACAGGCACATGCTTACACATACACAGATGCACGCACTCACACATACACACAAGCACATGCTTATATGCACACCTACACACTTCCACACACATGCACATGCTTACACACGTGCACGTGCTTGCACACAGATATACATGCTTATACACAGGCACACACTTCCACACACAGGCACACACTTGCACACACAGACACGAGCTTACACATACACAGATGCATGCACTTACACAGACACACACTTCCACACACTGGCACACACATGCACGTGCTTGCACACACCGTCACACACTTGCACACCCACAGCCTGGCAGGTGTCCGGCAAGCAGCTGCTGCCAGCGCCCTGTGCTGAGCTGTGCCGGGGCTCTCTCCAGACAACAGGCTGAAGGAGCTTCCAGACAGCCTGGGCGAGCTGCGGAGCCTGCGCACGCTGGACGTCAGCGAGAACGACGTGCAGAGGCTGCCGCAGATGCTGGCTCACGTCCGGACCCTGGAGGTGAGCAGGGAGCCGCTGGAGCCGCTGGCGCTGGGCCGGGGCGGGGCGCCTCTCTGGTTGGCCCACCTCCCTCCCACTTTCCCGAGGGCCTGCCCTGGTCACAGAGACCCCTGAGAGACTGGAAGCATCCGGACCCTGCTGTCTGAATTGGTGGCCACCAGTCACGTGTGGCCACTGAGCACGTGAGAGGTGACAGGTGCCTCCAAGGATCTCTCAAATCTGCTGACTCAACGTGTAGCCGCGTGGGTCTAGCAGCTAGTCCTTAAGCTGTCCCAGAACACAGAACTTCTTGGTGGCGCCTTGGGCAAACCTTTTAGGATGAGAGGCAGCAGTGGCCCTGCTACGTGCAAGGTCAGGCTCCCGTGTTAGCACGGCGCCCATCACACAGCCCCCTGTGTCGGGCCACGCCTGTTAACCTCGAGGGATCTGCAGTACCTGCTGATGGTCGCACAGCTGGGCGAGGGGACCCGGGTCTGAAGCCAGGGGCTGTGTCCAGTAGCTGCTCCCCCCACTAACGCAGATCTCCTGTGACCTGAGCGGCCAGCGCGGCCACCGCTGGCCACCTACCACCCCTGAGCGTTTGAAACGTGGCCAGTGCGACAAGGAGCTGAGGATACATTGGATTTCATTTTGATTCACTGAAGTGTGAACTTCGTGGTCACGCATGGCTTGCAGCCGCCACGCTGCACAATGTAGCCCGGAGCTCTTAACCCCCCGCCCCCATGTGGTGACTGATAATGTGGGAGGGGACAACCTGCTTTCCACTAGCTTCCCAGGATGGCATTTTCTGCCCTGGGGTCTCCAGCCCCAGGCAGTCAGAGCAGGGTCACCCACACCTGCCCGTGCAGTGCATGGCCACACGATGCCTGCAGTGTGCAGGCTGTGCTGCCCAGGGCTGGGCGGGGCCTGAGACAGCCTTCCTGTGCAGCCAGAGCCTGGCCTCCCCCTCGGGATTCCCCTGAGCCCCCTCCCCGGCCTTGTCTGCGTCCCAGGTATGAAAGCTAATGTGTTCCCGCAAAGGCCTCCGGTCACTCCTGCGGGCACCGATGGGAGCAGAGGGCTGGGGAAGGGAGTGGTCAGTCAGTAGGAGGGGAGATCAGCTTAAAACAATTGGGGCTGTGGGTAGGGACAGCTTCGTGGGGGGGGGGGACCCAGGCCCCGCCTCCTCGGCTGCGCACACCCGTGAGCGTGTGCATGTGTGCTCCTGCAAACATTTGCATTTCTTAGCTTAAAAAGTCATGCTATTGCTTTAAAAATTCAAATATTAAGACCAAATTCCATGTAGATAGTGCCCCAGAATCTCCTCTTTAGAGGAAAGCACTTTGAGTTTGAGATGTTCCTGCAAATATTCCCCGCACTATCCAATGTGAGTGTGTTTATTGGTATGCTTTTTAGCCAGATGGACTCATAGTCTCTATGCAGTCTGTCATTCCTCTCAGTCCCTCACTCATGAATTCATATCCAAAAACGTGAGCTGGCTGCCGTGGTCAGTGTGGGCACGCAGCAGTACATAACCAGACAGCGTGGCCGTCTGCTCTCGGTGCCCACCTGCTAAGCAGAGACAGACAGGAAGCCCACAGACTAGAGGTGACTCAGGTGGCTTCCGGTTGTTCTGAGCGGTGAGGAAGGGTCCCCTTGTGTTTGCAGACGCTGAGCCTCGACGCCGCGTCCATGGTCTACCCGCCCCAGGACGTGTGTGGCGCCGGCACCGCGGCCGTGCAGCAGTTCCTCTGCAGAGGTAAAGCCAGCCCTCCCGCCTCCCGCAGCCACCAGGGGCAGCAGAGACCCCCCTGGCCACAGCGCCTGCCTGCTCGGAGCTCGGAGTCCCCGGGAAACAGGCAGAAGACGTGATGACAGAGGAAGCACAGCTCCAGACCGTGGTCAGGGCGTCTGGGTTGTCAGAAACCAGGCTGGCACCTGCGGGACGGTTAGGGCTGCACAGGAGAGAAGGTGTCCCCGGCGGAGGGGCCTCGAGGGGCGGCACAGCCCCCGGCGGGACGCAGAGAGAGCCGGTGTGGCTGTGGGTCCCAGCCCAGGACAGAGAGCGGTGGAGAGCGTGCCCGGGCGGGGGGCCGGGGCCAGGCGGAGAGGGAGGGCGCCAGGTTAGCTCTTCACGATCATTCCGGCTGCACTGAGGAGAAGGGACCGGAGCGCGAAGCCAGTGAGGATGCTGGTGGGGAGACGCCGGGGGCCTGGACTGGGCCGGCAGAAGGGGCTGCGTCCCTGCAGCCAGGGCTGGGGGAGCAGGGCGCTCTCAGAGAGGGCTTCCTGTCACCTGCGGGGCTCAGGGGACAGAGCCAAGCCTCACGCTCATCTGGTGGTGGGGTCGGGGTGGAGACGCCATTGCACAGCAGGGGGCGGTCAGCGGGCTCAGTTGGAGGTCCCGTGGGTAAAAGGCGCCTCACCTGCTCGTCAGGAGACAGGCAGCACTAATCACGGAGCGCTGGTGAGCAGGACTTCAGTGATCGCCTCTGGGGCGGGCGTCTGGCAGAGAGGTTAAGTTGCCCGCTGCATCCCATGTCAGTGCCGCTCCTCTGCTCACGCACACCCTGGAGGGAGCAGGCGACGGCTCGGCAGCCTGGCTCCCTGCCACAGGTGTGAGTGGGGGAGCCAGGCTGAGTCCCGGGCTCCTGGCTCCAGCTTGGCCCAGCCCTGGCTGTTGTGGGCATTTGCGGGGTAACCGTGGATGGGTGATCTCTGTCGGCAGGGGTGTAGCTCTGCCCCTCTGCCTTTCAATAAAATGAATGTAAATAAATACAAATGTTTATATTTAAGCCACAGCTTCTCCTCCCCCGGGATACTGTTTGGGCCAGGGGATTGGCCTGGTGGTCAGGACTAATTAAGACTCCTGCATTCCTCCTTGGAGGGCCTGGGTGCCGGTCCTGGCCCTGGCTCCTGGCTCCTGGCTCCTGGCTCCTGCTAACACAGAGCCTGGGAAGCAGCCCTGATGGCTGAGGTGGTTTGGTTCCGGGGAGACCTGGATGGCGTGTCTGGTTCCCAGCTCGGGCCTGCCCCAGCGGCTGCTGGCATCTGGGGGTGAACCAGCAGATGAAGAGCTCGGTCTCGCTGGCTGGCTCTCTCTGCCTCTGGAATAAAATGTTTAAAAAGAACATAAAAGATGTGTTGAACAGGAAAAAATAGTAGAGTACCTGATTCTGCGCCCCGCTCTCTTCACTCAGAATAAACCCTAGGCACTTCCTGCCGCAGTGTGGTTAAATGTCCGCAGAAGGCAAGCAAGCCGGTAGAGAAGGGGAATGGTGCGAACCCCCGGGAACACGGCAGGCCGGAGAAGGAAGGCGGGGCGCTGAGGCCCTGCCGGTGCGGGGAGCCACGGGAAGCTGGGCTCGGGCTGCGGGCCTCTGCCGGCGGCGGGCTTTCCCGCGCCCTCCTCCTCACTCGTCCTCTCGTGCACTTGGTCACTCAGCTGACTGTTGTTGGGCACTCAGCACACTCCAGGCCCAGGGCTCAGGACCCGGAAGAGAGCCGTGGACTGGGCCAGGCAGGGTGGGCCGCCAGGGAGGCAGGAGGAGGGCCAGGGCCGTGGGGACGGAGCTGCGGGGGCCTGGGCCGCGTCCCCACTGCCGGTCCGCCTGTGCTCCTCCCTTGCAGAGTCGGGACTGGAATACTACCCCCCTTCCCAGTACCTGCTGCCGGTTCTGGAGCAAGACGGAGCCGAGCCCTCCCGGGACAGCCCTGATGGGCCGGCGGACAGATGGTCGAGGGAGGAGGTAGAGTGGCAGGTATGGTGGTGGGTGCGGTGCGCGTGCCGATGTCCCCTGGGAACCCCGTCCGCACCCCTCCCTCCCGCTCCTGTCCTGAAGCGCCGTCCCGCGAGGCAGATCCCGTTAAACACCTGCGACCCTGTGCTGGGGGAGCGCTTCCCCGCCGTGCCTTTCACAAGTGGAACAGAGTTCCACCCCGCGAAGGCGGTAGCTGTGGTTCACACTCCCCCCGCCGTAGCGACACACTCAGCCGTGGCAGGCGTTTGAGCCGTCCCCAGCGTTTGTCCTGCGATGCGGGCGCTGGGGAATCACACGTCCGCTTTCCCGGTCTTGTTTTGGCGGCCCCGGGCCTGGTGAGCGCTCTGTCCCCAGGACTGCCCTGCGGCGCCGCTTCCCCCAGTGCCCAGCCACGGCAGCACCAGTGGCTCCCACGCGGTGTCCCCCGGAGCCACCATTTATGGACACCCAGCCCTGCTCCGGTGCCCTGTGACTCGGTGCCGTGAGCACCGCTGCTGACCGCCGTCTCTCCCCACAGAACAGGTTCTCGGACTACGAGAAACGGAAGGTAAGGAACCCCCCGCCCCGCACTGTGCTCAGAGACCCCGGCTCACGAGCTGTCTGAGACAGCGTCTTCCCGGCTCTGAGTCAGAGCTCAAGGCCGGGTTTTCCTACCTCCCCGTTGAGGAGACTGAGCCTCCCCGAGGTCGAGCCCAGCCCCCACGCCAAGCCGCCATCCTGGGCCGTGGACAGCTCGTTTCATTAGAGCCGGGCCGGGGGCGTCGAGAGCTGTGTCCCCCTGCTCCTGGGTCCCCCATCACTGGGCTGTCCATTCCCCCTGCTCCACTGTCACTGGGCTGTGTCCCCCTGCCCCCATGTCCACTGTCACCGGGCTGCGTCCCCCTGCTCCCATGTCCACCATCACCGGGCTGCGTCCCCCTGCCCCCGGGTCCCCCGTCACCAGGCTGCGTCCCCCTGCCCCCGGGTCCCCCGTCACCGGGCTGCGT